CCGCTTCTGAAGAGGGCAATCAATTCTCTTGGTAAGAATATTTCATTCAAGATACCGTCATAGCTCATTTTTGCTCCTTCCGGTCCAATATGGATAATCCGCTATTTCATACGTTATTTACTGCTAGTCGCCGCTTTCTGATTTAATTTCCTCATTTCTCGATTGGAGCAGATGGATAACCACAGTCTGGTGAAATTGATGCAGGGGGGAGTGACAAGAGGTTCTGGCAGATGCTCGAGAGAGGAAAGACAAGACGGACGTTTAATCAGAACACTACTGCCACCATTAGTATCAGAACTCTTCGCTGGCTGCTGAAGATGGGGACAGAGCGCTTACGGGAATGCCCCGAGTGATGTGATGTCGGTTCTTGAATCAAATCAAATCAAATCAAATCATTTCTGGATTGGGAATGCAACGGTTTTGTCGCCCATCTACTTAGCTGATTGCTTGATGCGACACTCTGAGATGTGGATTTTATGTGGAATCTCTCTTTCTGTTGTGCTCTGTGCTGTTTTGTATTGTGAACTGCACTAAGAAAATGGAAGTGGGGGAATTATTTTCAGAATGACATGTACTTATGCCGCATTGCATGTACACATACTGGCGTTCGTGACTGATTGCTTGCATCAACAGTGAGTTCGCAATTCTGGTGACAGACTGTTAGTGATCTGATGACGTCCTAAGGAAGTTGCTTTGCGAGCTTCACGATTTTGCTAGGAATGGTTTTCACTAGTCTTTTAATGGGACATGGAGATATATTTTGTGATTTCCACTTGCACGGGTACAGATTTGAGGTGAATGAACCCTTTGTAGTGAAGCTAAAACCTCACTTAACGACTACAAACTTCACTTCTGTAATTGCTTGAGTTGACTTTCTACCCCACTAGGACATCACACAAGCGATAAACACCCGATGACACAAAGTGCCACCATGTGGATGAGGATCGCCGTAGAGAGGTCCCAGAAACCGCGTTCAGACAATTGGCCATATTTATGGCCTGCCTATATTGCGGCCCCTGGCAAAACCAGGGTGGGGCTTCAAATGACAAAAAATTTCGTCCTTAAAAGGACGAAACTAGATAATCTATCTTATATATTGCTGTAATTGCTGCAATAGTTCGGCTAAACGGTAGATGGGCCGGCCCTACAATATGCACTACGTGACACTCATACGTTCAATGTCATGTATTTTTATAGCTATGATTTCGACGTGGCAAAGCCGGGAGAATACTATGGCTTTATACTAATCCGACAGACAGTTCAGCCAGTGTAGAATTCCTCGTTTATTCTTACTTAGGCAACAGTGCTATTACTAGTAAAGTAAGTTAATTGTTTTCTCTTTCGTTATTTCCCTTGGTTATCTCAGTCTATTACAAATAGATTACAAGCAATTTAAATTATAAAGACGCAAATAATAAGTTCCACGTTTATTGCTGAGCATTAAA